TTTTTTTTTTTTTTTCTATTCAATTCATACTCAAAATATAACTCAACTTTAACTCAGTCTCACTATCCTCAATATTATCAAAGTTAAATAATATCAAACAATCATTCTTACACATCACATCAATTTAAATTCACTATTCGTCCACTCACATAATTTTAATTAACTGCCAATTCGCATTATCTCTCCTAGTTTTACATCAATCAACTTTAATTATTTTATTTTTAAATATTATTTTAACATAAACTAAAATTCACCGACAACTAACCACACTAACTTTTTTTTTTTCAAAATTAACCTCAATTAACAAAATATTTTAAGAGAATATATTTGTAGACAAACACCCCCTTAAAGTTTCATTGAATTAAGATTTGAAATTTTAAGAAAAATAAATATATTGTAATTTTAGTCACAAACAATTATATGTTATTTTTGTTTATATAGTCGTAACTCACGAGTAGACATGTCATTTTCCAGTTTTGGACCGGTTCCAGGCCAAGGGTCGGAGGGTCCCCAACCGGCTCAAACATATCTACGGCCAGTTCAGTGAACCGCCAATTTGGGGCCAGCCCGATTTACTTTTTTTTAAAAAAATAATAATAAATTCTAATTTATTTATTTATTTATTTATTTTTTTGGTTAGAAAAAAGTCAAGCTAAAATACGAACGCAAAACCCCAAATTTCACATCATCAAAATTGCCAGAATATCAAACCCTTCACCATTTTCCCACCTCGCGTAAGCCTTCTCTCTCTCTCTCTCTGTTGTGCTATTTGTTGTTTTTTTTGTTCTTAATTGTTTTGCTGCCCTTGTTTACTCGCTCGAATGGGTATAAATAGTTCAGAGAAAAGCTCTTATGCTCGCTGTAGCTTGTTAGGGTTTCTTATTTGCTCACACAAGCAGTTTCATTTTCAAAATTCGCTTCATAGATCGATTTTCCATGAAGAAATTGATGAGTAAAGGTCAGTAATCTTGTAAATTCGATTGCAAAGAGCATTTAGGTCCAAAATATTTAATCTGTTTTGAGCTGTTCTTGAAACCTTCTTTGTTTACGTTTACCGTTATGTTTACTGCTCTATGTAGATCTACTGAACATGCTTGAAAGTAGCATAAATTTGTATCTTACTTTGAGGAAATCTAATATGTATTCTGATGACAGTCCAAAGAATTCTGCAGTGTATTGCCCCCTCGTTCCCATTGTCTTGAATTGATTAAAAATCGTCAAAACCCAGAAGTGCTGGTTCCTGTTGTCAATGTGACTGAGCATTAAGTTTCAATGAATAATCAAAATATCAACAACAACCCGAGGAGGGGAAATTTCGGCTTGGTCAATCCATCTGCAATGCAAATTGCCATGCAAATGCCAATGCAGATACAAATGCCTGCAAGCCACAACCAACAGCATGTGCCCCATCTGTTATCTCAGTCGCAACCTCAAGTCAGACCCTTCTTTCCCGGACACTTTCAACCCTCAGAGCCTCAAGCTCAGGCATTTGTCCACGACCCATCACAAGCCATGGCCCAAGCACAGGGTAACACTAATATCGGCATCTCATCCCCTCTCATGCCCACACCGGGGCCTGGATCTGGAAAGCGCCTTCCCAAAGCACCTTCTCGGCCTTCTGGGGGTTCCTCTGGTCAAGGAAATCCTTCCCCCATGAAAACCATGGAATTGACCCCTGCTGTGCGTAGAGGGAAACGGAAACTTCCGGATGAAGCGATTCCCGAGAAAGTCTCGGCAATATTACCAGAATCTGCCCTTTACACTCAGTTGCTTGAATTCGAGTCCTGGGTGGATGCTGCCCTTGCGAGGAAGAAGATTGACATTATCGAATCACTAAAAAATCCTCTGCGTGCCCAGAAGGTTCTGCGGATTTACCTTTTCAACACCTATGCCAATCAAACGGGGACAAATGTGGAGAAGGAAAATGTCGAGCCACCTTCATGGTCTCTCAGGATAATCGGGAGGATACTGGAAGACGGCAGAGATCCTGCGCTGCAAGGACTAGCGTCGAGCACTTCGTACCCGAAGTTTTCATCTTTCTTTAAGAAAATCACTGTGTACTTGGATCAGAGTTTATATCCGGATAACCACGTAATTTTGTGGGAGAGTTCTCGATCACCTGTGCTTCATGAAGGGTTTGAGGTGAAGAGGAAAGGGGATAAGGAGTTCACTGCAATTGTTCGTCTGGAGATGAATTATGCCCCTGAAAGATTTAAGCTTTCGCCTGCATTGCAAGAAGTTCTTGGAATTGAGGTGGAGACGCGCTCACGAATTATGACGGCCCTTTGGCACTACATTAAGATGAGAAAGTTACAAATACCCGGTGAGACTTCCTCTTTCATGTGTGATCCACCACTGAGGAAGATTTTTGGGGAGGAGAAGTTGAAATTCTCCATGGTTCCGCAGAAGATAACTCCCCATCTTTCTCCTCCTGGACACATACATTTAGAGCACAGGATCAAGCTTTCTGGGGGTACTCCTGTTGGAAACACTTGTTATGATGTGTTGGTTGATGTCCCTCTTGTATTGGAGAAGGAAATGTCAACTTTCCTGACAAACTTAGAGAAGAACAAAGAGATTGATTCTTGTGATGAAGCTATATCCTCTGCTGTGAAGAAAATACATGAACATCTTCGCAGGCGATCATTTTTTCTTGGTTTCAGTCAGTCACCTGCGGAGTTTATTAATACCTTAATTGCTTCTCAAGCCCGAGATTTGAAACTTGCTGCTGCTGATGCCACTCGTGATATGGAGAAAGAGCGCCGAGCAGAATTCTACAATCAACCTTGGTATTTATTGTGTTATGTTTTTGAAAATGCATAATTTTTTGATACACGATGTGCATCTTTGTCACACAAAGATATTCTTTATGCTCAATTAGGGTGGTACCTCACCAATGAGGGACACCCTGCCTTGCGTCCACGCCGCAATCTCATTAAACATACACTCACCTTTACAAAAATTAAAAAAAAATATATTATTTTTCTAGGGGGTCCGTTGAGCTTCAGCCTTACCATCTCTCACTTCCTGGCTAAGCCTCTGTGATCTTAATGTTGTATAGCTTATCTTCAAAAGTGACGATCTTTATGTTAACTATTATTCTCAAATATATTTATGGCTTTATGCATGCTCATTGTGTCATAGTATTTTTCTTAATGAAAATTGTGTCATTTCCGTTAACGACCACAGGTGCAATACAAAAATTGCTCCCTCATGGCTTAAAATTGTGGTTATCTGGTGTTGAAAGCTATTCCGGCCCTTAGGAGAATGTCTGATGTAATGATTTTTGTCATTATGCTGACCCTAGTTTCTTGGTGATTACTTTGTATGACATCTATCTGTTATTTCTGCACATTGTTCTGTTCCAAACTTCTGACCTGTCAATGTAATGTTCAGTCAGCTAAATACTATTCTTTCAACATAAGTAGGACATCTATTTGCACGCATTCGTTTTGTTCCACTTGTTACATGTCATCCTGTGAATGATTATCTCTCTTTGAGGTTTTATTTACCTTCTATGCACTGTTTCAGGGCTGAAGATGCTGTCATCCGGTATCTAAATCGAAAACCTGCTGTCGGTAGTGAAGTTGCTGGAAACAAATAGTTACAGAATGTTTGTCCGGTGAGGGAGGTACTTTTCTGGGACTAAATGTAGTTTTTGTACCAAGTAGTAGTACTATGAGGCAACAGAAACTTTGTTGTTCATATGCTTATCGGTTGTAGGATTCAATCTATTCGTAGGCTTCTCAGTTAGGATAAGCAGTTTTATGCACATATTTTGTTTTGAATATGACAACTTGGTTTTCCTGCCTTCCTGGAAGTATGATGGAAAAAAAAGGCACAATCATCCTACTTTTTAGCTTTGTATGTTTGTATTTATGTCCTTTGCAGTGTGTCATATTCTCAAAGCTCAATGCTGGTATTCTGATTGTGAACTGCATCATTTTTAGCCATATGCTTCTTCATGACACGAATAAGCAGAACTATAACCGAGGTTTTCTCTTGATTGGTTGGAAATCGATTATTGTTGGCGATTTTTTAGGTTATACTTGGACCTTAATGTACTTGTCTTTAGTAAAGAAGCGAGGCTTATCATTTTGGGTCGCATCTAACCTGACTATAATAAATATTTAAAGAATTCCAAGAGTATTAACTTGAATTATTGTTAATGACTTCATCAGTAGTGTAGACTGAGTTGAGGATGATAAGAACTGCCTTGGATTCTATTAATCTGATGGTGTTGAGATTTTTGGAGAGCAAATTTGAAAATTCATCAGACTGTAGTATGAAGTTAAATGAGCAAGTAAACTTGTACTCGGCTTTCTCTATTTGGGAGGAGGCCGAATTTTGAATTTGTTAATTATTTGATATATTAAAAAAATATATAAATAGGATGTATTGTTTGTTATGACATGATTTGTATTGCATATTTGCACCTGAAATCGTGTATACACTGTAAGCTATACAGCGCTGGTTGGTGTGATTGAGTGCGGGACAGCCATTGTTTCCACAATGCAACTCCTTATAATCGGATGACTCCATCCTACATGCAACTCCCGGTGAGGTCTTTAACCATATTTTTTCACATAATAGTATGTGCAAAATTTGTGCTAATTGGTTAAAACCCCATTGTGTATGTGCAAATTTATGGTTAAAAACTCACACTGGTGCACAGTAGAGAGTATCGTAAGAACCAGTTTTCGCCAATTTGTGCCACTGAATGAATTTCTGCGCAATCTATAGTTGCCGCAAATACGATAGATCAATTCTGGTCATCGAGTTCATATTGAATGTCAAATGAATGCAAATAAACCAAATGTTCGCCCATAAAGTGGCAACATGACCTTACCATACAATGCATGAATCGAATGAAATACGAGAGTTACAGTTTGAGGAAAACTACTCTTAGGTAGTGTTTAAGGAAAATCTCACTCCATTAGGACAACAAAATGCAGCACGTAGCATATGATAAGATACCTCAAAAAGTAAGAACTTTCTCATAGTATTAGAGCTAACAGCTTTCTTGCTCGATCACTGAAGGTACAGTAGTATAATTTGAAGTGTAGGGTACGTTAGCCTCTCAATCTCACATCTCTATTCTAGCTATTCACTCCTCTCAAGCGGGCGATTAGCTCATCCTGTCCGAAAAAAAAAAAATAAGAA